CCCCCAGGGCCGCCGTCCCGGTTTCCCACGGTGGCTCCCGGCTACCCGGCCTCCCGGTGCCGCAGCCGGCGGCCCTGCTCCACGGGCAGCAGCATGCGGGGCTCGGGCACCGGCGCGTCGCGGAGCAGGAGAGCCCCGTGCGAGCCCACGCCACGGCCCTTCCCTGCCCCGTCCCACCACGGGGTCCCCAGGGAATTCGCAGAGCCACGGCCGGGCTGTGGCCTGCGAGCACGGAGGTCCCCGCGAGGGCTCCTCCGGGAAGGACAACACGGAGCTGCGGGACGAGGCAGCCGCCACAGCCCTGCTGGCCCCGGGAAGCATCTCCTTTCCACGTTAGGCCTCGGGGCTCCCCTGGAGCCGCATCCGTGTCTGTCCCTCATTTCCCGCATCACCACCACATTGCAGACGTTGTCACCACACACACCATGTTGCTCATCTGTCTGTCCTGGCCACATGCTCCGGGGGTCTGCGTGGTGCCTTCTCCTCAGCTTTGGTGCCTTATTCCATGAGAAGGAGCTCCCGCCTCCTCCTTTTCCCTGCCTGACCCCTCATTAAATTTGCTGGGACCTGGCGGGAATCACAGGCACCAGAGCTGATCTGGAAGTTGGGTACTAGCTGCAGAAACAAGGAGGTTTTGTTCATGCCTAGTGGTCTTTCCTGTCAAATACACAGCTTTAATAAAATCAGGTGTTCCTTTTAATTGCCTGTTTTTAATTAATGTTTCTTTGTGAATCACCCAGAGTCACATTTTTCTCCTTTCCATTTTGATTTTTCTCAGGTAACGTAGCTTTTCCCTGTGTTACCATCCCCCAGGAAGCCCCCACAACACAAAACTGAACCTTGCACTTTTAACAGCCTGTAGGTTATCCTAGTGTGACGCTGTTGGTTGTAATTCACTGCCGCAAGGATTAATTCATCCAGAAGCCTCCTCCTCTTCCTGCGCTGGTGATGGATGCTGGGAACATGCTTCTGCTCCAGGCTCTTTGCCAAAGGAGCAGGGTTTGGTTCTGTGGACCGATGGCTCCACGGTCTGAGATCGAACACACACAGCTCCCAAGGCTGTTGTATTGCCCCCAGGCAGATGTTTGGCCAAGCCCAAAGCCTGTATTTGAACAGGTCCCACTTGTACCTTGTCCTTCACCTCGTCCTATCTGTCTGTAAAGTTTCCATCATTCATTCTCATCCTGTTCCATTCCAACCCCCTCATGACAAGAGCCAAGAAGCAAAGCGTCCTCGTGATGTGGTTTCATGGGAGCAGGTCTTTCAGAAGCACAAGGCCTCTTACACCTCACACGAAGCCCAAGCAATTATATGCCGCCTTGCCTGTGCAAGTCTTCTGCGGGGCAGGAGGGGCTCCAGCTCTGTGTCATCTCCCCACGTGCTCAAGAGCTGCCTCCCTCCTGCTGCCACATGCTGCTTGGAGAGCCGCACTCATACAGCACGATGTGCCTGTGGTGAACAAGCCTTCCATGCTTCTTCATCGCATCACCTGCCAAACAAAAAGGGGTGGGAGGCCAGGCCTTTGCTTCCTGCCACATGGAAGATTCCCTTGAATAGAACAGACAGCTGGACAGAGGCCCCCATTCTGGTGCTCTTGGTTGTGGGGAGAAGCCTTCTGAAGAGCCAGATGGTCCCGGATAGCAGCGTCCTCTTGAGCCTGCAAGAAGCTCTGGTCTCTCTGCCCACCCCCTCAGCATTTCTAGCACTGAGGTGTCTCTGGTGCCTCAAAGTGCCCCTTCCCACATGGAACCAGGCTTCCTTCCCGGCCTTGCATGGAAATAGCACTTGGCGGCTTGTCTTTCAAGGACGACTTGTGGTTTCCGCACAGGTGTCCAAGCGTGAGCAGCTTCCAAGAGCCCAAGCGACTCGCCCAAGGCCTTGCAGGAAGTCTGGCAGAGGGGAAGGGCAGCACAAGGCTCCTGTGTCCCTCTCCCACCGCTGCTCTCCAGGTGGTTCAAAACCATCCCAGGCCCCCAGGGATGAGTTGTGCTGCCCTCCTGCCATGAGGTGCTGTGGGAGCCTAAGGCGGAGCAGGCGGATGCCGTCCTGGGAGGCTGCTGAAGGAGCCAGCACCGTTCTCACCCCATTTCCCCGCTGCCAGTGCAACTGGAAGGGGAAATGTGCCCACAGCAGCGAGTGCCGGGGCTTTGCGTGACGCCCCTGGCCGATGGCATCCACTGCCAGTCACGGTCCTCACTGCAGACCCCTCAGCCTGCCACGTCCAACAGGCCTGGGCTCCCCTCGGTGCCTGCACGCCCAGGCCTTGCTCCTCAGACCCCAGCAGCCTGGAGGGGCTCTGGGGCGCTGAGCGCGGCCGTGCTCAGAGCTCCGGACTGGGAAGCTGAGCCCTTCCCAGCACCGCTCCTGAGCCTCTGCAGCATGGATGGGATTGGAGTCACCTTAAAGGGACACCCTGATCGTAGGGACTTGCTTCAAGTTACAGCATTGCTAAAATTAAAACTAATTAATTCATCATTAAAACTCCCTGCCTGGCCCTCAAGAACTGCGCAAGGTCTGAGCAAGACCCCAAGGTTTTTAATGGTGTGACAAGGACATGTCTGGCAGACCCCCAGGAGATGCTGCCGGCTGAGGAGATTGAGAGGCCAGGGAGGTTATTGGTGCTGGGGGGTTCCATCTGCTCCTGCTCGCTTGGTTGCCAAACCCAGAAAACGTCCCCAGGACGGGCAGGGCGTGCAGTGAGTGTCCCTGCTGCCCCGCGCGCGCACCGACACTCCGAGAGCTGCAGCCCTTTCCTTACCCCTGCGCGAGGGCTCTCCTCACTGGCAGTTGGACCCTCAACCTCGTTGTTTGCAGGTGAAGCCCCAGCAGGCACCTGGCAGGGATGAGCACGTCCCCTCCTGCACCCCAGGGCTGCGAACCTGGAGTTGTCCCTGCAGCATCGTGTGCTTCACATCACTGTGCGCAGGCAGTGCCTGCTCAGCAGGCAGCCTTGAAAGCAACAGCTGAAGCCAGAGGGAGATCTGAGATACATCCCAGAGCAAAACAGAGGCTTTTTGTCACCCTGAGCTCTGCCTGCTGTCCCACGGCTGCCTGGCATGGGGAAGCCAAGACCTCCTTCCGCTGCATTTGCCGTCCCCAGGGCTGTGAGTTCAGCAAGCAGCTTGATTTCACAGTGGGCCTGGTCAGCTGGAGGACATGAGAAGTTCAGGCAAAGCCTTTCTGGCCATGCAACCTGGTGGAGCTCCTGAGACCCTCCAGCACGCAGGTTTGCTCTTCTCTGCCTCTGCTTTGTCACAGCGGTGTTTCCTGTGCCTGGGTGGCAGCTTCTGCTTTGAGTCTGTTTTGCTCAGGTGCTCCAGCTCAAGCAGAGTCTCCAGTAAGGCTGCTGGACTTCGCTTTTTGTCTTAATCTCCTTTTCTTCTTTTCTGCTGCATTTCTGAGAACTGTTAGCAAGCCGGTTCTCTGCAAGAAACAAAGGAGCAGCAGTTGCAGGTCCATTGCTGAAGGCTGTTGAATTGACTGAAACGGAGCAAAATTCAGGTTCCTTACCCTTCTTTGGGGAAAAAGTAATCTTGGAATAACTAGCACGAAAGGAAGGGAAGAGTAAAATAACCCAAAGCAGCATGTGAGCCAGAAAGTCTATTGAGAGCTCGGATCAATAGGGAAGGTAATAGCCGCACTGGAAGCAGCACAGTGTAATGTTAGTGCAGGGTAAACACTGCAATAAGAACCCGGTGTTGCTCAATTAACTAACACTTGTTTTTTCCCTCTGCCCACAAGATCCAGACTCCTTCCTGAAGTCCGCTCGCCTGCAGCGCCTGCCCTCGTCCTCCTCGGAGATGGGCAGCCAGGACGTGTCCCCTCTCCGGGAGACGAGCAAGGACCCTTTCTCCGGGGACTGCAGCTGCCGGCAGGACGGGCTCACCGTCATCATCACCGCCTGCCTCACCTTTGCTACGGGCGTCACCGTGGCCTTGATCATGCAGATCTATTTTGGGGACCCCCAGGTAAGGCACAACAGTGGCTTTGCAGCTTGCCCTGTGCTTTGGCTCTGAAAGCAGCAGAGTCACGCGGGGCTCTGCGCTCCGGCACCACGCTGGGGCTGCAAGCAGCAGAGCCCGGAGAGTTTGGGGTAGCGCAGGGTGGAACACGGAGACCCGCTGAGATCCACAGATCCAGCTGTGACTAGAGGCAGATGTGAAGGTTTTCAGAGAGCAACTTTCATTTAAGGAGACATCTTCCATATATCTCCACTTGCAGAAATTTACGGATCTGTCTGTCAGGGCCCATCTCAGAGAGTATCTGTTTCCACCCAGAATCGGGCAGGGGAATGTCTGAAAGCAGAGCAGAACCTCCAGCTAACGCTCCCCAAGGGCCAGTGCAGACTTACAGAGCAAAGGGAGCAGAGTGAGAGGGCTGTGCATTCCTCAGAGGAAATATGCTACAGAAACATGCTACCTGAGAAGCAGTATAGCCTAAGAACATCACGGGAGCACCCAGCAGACACAGCGCTCCTCACCACATGCCACCTGGCAGGGCAGATCTGGCTCCAGGTCCAGACACAGAAATAAAGGGCTTTGCTGATTTCATTTTTTCTTCCCTTACTGAGATGCAAATACAAGTGTTTGCAGAGGAGCGGCTTGTCCTTTTGTATGTCTGTCTGGGGCAGCTGAGAGGACCCCGAGTTATCCTGCCAGAGACACTGTGCTGTGATGCAGCTGCCGGGAGGGACGCTTCTGCCCGCCAGCCTGCCACGTCCATTGCATCTTAGCCATATCCATTGCATCTTAGGCATGTTCATCAAGCCTTAGCACTTCCCGAGGCCACCCCAGCTCGTGCCAAGAGTCAGCAGTCAGGGCTTGAGAATTAACTTGGCTAAAAATGAATCTGTTTTTTAACTTCATGCACACTGGTGCTGGCACAAAGAAAGGGTGAGAACAAGTCATGACTGCATTAGGCAGATGGGACTGTCATTTTTTTTAGCTGCACAAGTATATTCCTCCTTCCAGGGATTGCTTTGCCACGGCAAACCATCCTCCTGTCACCCCTGAAGATTACTCCAGCTCTGCTCTGGGGTTGTTGGAGGATACTGGCAGAACATGACTATGGTCAAATGCTGGCGCACAAAGTGGCCACAGTTCTCCTGGTGTGGATGTAAGATATGTTGCTTCCATCCACATTTGGAAGCACCTGAAACCTCAGGCCAGGACCAGCCTTGACTCTGGCAAACAGGAGCCCAGCAGCTGGCCTCATAACAACTACTGCGACACTGGCCCCATCCCACGGACCATCCCACAGAGCCAGGCTGGGCCCTGGGCGCCCTGGCCCTGTCTCAGGCCTTGCTGCTCTCTCTTCTCCCGGCAGATCTTCCACAAGGGCGCAGTGGTGACGGACGCCGCGCGCTGCACGGCCCTGGGCATCGAGGTGCTCAACAAGAAGGGCTCCTCGGTGGACGCAGCCATGCCTCATGGTGCTGCCTGTCGTTGGCCTCGTGCAGACTGTTTCCCTGTAAGTGCAGATTTGCCCTTCTCCTAGCCCGAGGCCTTGCATCAGGACGTGTCTGCAGCAAGTCCAGCCCCTGCAGAAGGAAGGCGGGTGAGCCCCAGAGCAGCAAGTCCTTCTGCCCCACTCTCCACAGCTGCTGTGGCCGGCCACAACCACGTCTCCTACTATGTCAGTGCAGAGGTGGCCCCGCTCGGGGCCCGCTTGTGCCTTCATATCCTCCTTAAGAGAATGAGGAAGCCCTGAGTCAGCAGAGGCTGAACCAACCTCGCAGCAAGACAGAGAGATCCGTAGCCAGGCCCCACTGAGAGCAATCACGAGCCTGCTTTAGCGAGCAACAAGTAATCCGAGCCTTAGGCTCAATCATGTAGAAGAAGGGGACCACAGGCTGCCTGAAACTCTATGCAGTCGTGCCAGGGAGCTTGCAGCACCCAGGCTCATGGGACCCCAGGACCAACATTTTTAGAGATCAGAAGGTGCCCTCTACAAGCTTTGCTCCTTGTGCAACAGAAGAGGGAGATGCAATTCTGGCTCCAAGCTGGCACGGGGAGGGTGAGGGAGGTGGGCATGGGATGAGGGTGCTGTGTGGGGCTGGCGAGCCCTCAGCCTCGCCTCCCTGCTGCTCCAGTGCTGGCCTCCTGCTCTGGGAATCACCTGAGATGCCCGTTCTCAGCCCTCCAGGAAGTGTCAGGAGCGTTGCATAAAACCCTGTCACCTGATAGCAGCTCCAAGCTGAAGTGAAGATTGTTCGGTTGTAAGCAACACCACCCACCATCCCCACATTGTTGCAAAATTGTTTGGATTAGAAAGAAAATCCCTCATAGTCCCAGCCCCAAAGTGGAACAGACCAGTGGCCCTGCTGGCCAGGCTGGTGGGAATTGATCCAGCCTCAATTGCTGACTCATCGCCATGGACAACCTTCTTCAGACCCTCGGTCACCCTGAAGAGGTCCCTTCGCTGCTCTGGAAGCAGCCGAGACCTGAACAAGGACAGACTTTCCTCTTACCCTGCTGCTGCCCCAGACCATGTCTGGGCCACTGCTGTGCAGAGAGCAGCCAAGAGGGGCCCTGCACCCCAGGTGACACCTTGGCTTGCGGTGATGCACTGAGCCTGACTGCGTCGCGCAGGGGGACAGCCAGGATGGGCAGCACGGCCCTTCCTTGCTAACGGGCTGGGAGTCCTGGATCTCTAAAGGGAGATGAGCAACTTGCTGCCATGCCCCCCTTTGCCTGTGTTATTCTGGGTTGTATGGTAGCATGCTTGTTCCTATGGGGCTTGGCTAATCCCAGCATCTCTCTGCAGGGGTGGGGTGATGCTGGTCCATGACATCCGTAAGAACAAAAGTGAGGTGATTGATTTCCGCGAAGTGGCTCCCCTGGGCATCCCCGAGGAGGAAGGTCTGCAGAAAGCCTTGGACACCAGGGTGAGCAGCAGTGTCAGGACGGGTTTCTCTTCTGCAGCTGTAGCTGGCTGAGGTCTCCAGGTCTCCCCTCTTCTCCATGTCCACATTCCACCCTGACACCCAGCTGAGGGGAGGAGCAGCCTGGGGAAAGCCATCAGCTGGGGGACCCCGAGCCAGAAGACACCATTCGCAGGCAGACGTTAGCACAGCTCAGACTGCCTTACAGCCAACCTCCTCACAGCCAGGACGCCTGGGCTACATCTCCCCTGATAACGCCCTTCCTGTGCGCACTGTGTCTGTTGGGCACTAGGAGATGGGGGAAACCTCATTGCCACATTCCCAGAGGCATCAGGAGGCATCTTCTCTGCTGAAAGATCCCAAGCCCTGAGCACCCAAGGAGGCCCAGGGCAATACTGCATCTCTCCCGAAACGCCTGAAGCTTGCAGGCCTCCGGCGAGTCCACAGGCCCAGCAGAGCCTGGGAAGTGAGGCAACCATCTCCCTGCAGCAGGGAGATACCAGAAGAACAAGACTCCTGGCAGGGAGCAGAAGTCCTGTGTTGCTCTGCTATGTTATTTCTCTTGATTTCATTGGATTGATGTAAGGAATGAACTTCTCTTTCTTCCTGAAGACCATTATTCCTTAATTTAGTGTGTTACTATGGACCCTAGCCTCTTCCCCTCTCCTAAAGACCATGCAAGCATCTTCCATATGAGCATGACTCACATCTCCTTTCTGTCAATTCTTTGACATGCAACTGGGGGACTTTGACTTGCAACTGGATGTCCTTACAGTATGGAAATTGTACTCTTCCTTTTTGTCCTTCCTTCTTTTACAGCCAGGTCTCCTTGTGGGGGTGCCCGGCATGATACAGGGAATGCACCAGGCACACCAGTTATACGGCAGGTAAGACGAGTTGGCTGCTGCAGACAGGCCTGGTGGTCGGACCATTTGTGCTCCGTGGTCTTTGTGGGGCAACTGGGAGCGCGTGACCTCTTGCCATTGGACCACAGGCTCATCTATCAGTCACAACCATTAGCTAAAGAGTGCCTGGAGGTAAATGTATGATATTTTTTGTTTGTTTTATTTAAAAGAAAGAATTTGTTTTTGTCAGGTTTTCTTGATTTTTGCTAATGAGTTGAAAAGTGAAGAATACCTAACATAGGGGGTTTCCATCTTATCTCTCATTCTTTTTCCTTCTTTTCTTCAGTAAGAAAAGAAAGCTGATTACAACTGAAAAATGAACCACAACTTAAAAAGGGATAGTTTTCAGCTTTAATTTTATCCAAAAAGCAAAAATTTTTGCAAACATTTCCAGCAAGTGAGAGGGAGAGTTTGAATGGCTTGCTTGGGGTTACAGTCTGACTCAAAATTTTACCTCAGAGATGCCCCCTCTCGTGTCTTTTCATTGATGTTTCTCTCTGGGGCACGTGGTGGATTGCTGAGATTATCTGGGTGAGAAGAAATAACCCCACCAGAAGCTCAGAGCTCCTTTAGGTGGCCCGGGCTGCAGCTGGCCCACAGGCTGGCATGGCAGGAGCCTCGGTAGAGCAGCGCTGAGCCCCGAGCTTGCCCCCACAACTGGGGTTGCCACACTGCATACCCTTCCAGGACAGAAGGTTTCACCCTGTTTTCTTCTTTGGCAGACTCCCGTGGTCTGAGCTGCTGGGCCTTGTTGCTGGTGTTGCCCAGGATGGGTTCAATGTTACGCATGACCTGGGTGAGTAAATGACGGGGAGCCAAGGGTCCATACTCAGTATGAAGCAGCCCATGGCCATTGCACTGACGAGGGAGGAGAGAGCTGGTGACGTGTGGCAGGAGGTGGGTGGTTATTTGATGGAAACTAGGACTCTTCCAGCTTGGAAACAGATGGTGTCAAGAGCTGAGCAAGGCGAGAGGAGGCCGTGATGACAAGAAAACAGGAGCCCTTTCCAAGAGGTCAGGGCACAGCAGACCAAGGCAGGCAGCCAGGGCTGGCCAGGAACAGCTCTCTGCTCCTAACAGCTACAGCCTGGACTCTGCTCTAGCACTGAGAGGAGAGGGCTGCCATGCCAGCTCTGCTGCAGGCTCGCCACACAGCTTTGGAAGATCCTTGTTTCCCCTTTCCCGCACTCCCTGCCACCTCAGGCTTGCAATGTGTGCAATACATGAGCTCGGCAGCGAGTTGAGCACTTAGGTTCCTTTCAAGCTGTAACGGGAGCATGACCCAGCTGCCCTGCGATCAACTCTCTCATTTGGAAATAGGTGCCAGATAGCAGCAACTCCCAGAGCTCCCCATCAGGCACACAGTGACTACCGTAGCATGCAAGCTAATGGTCCCCTGGGCTGTCTGGACATCCCTGAGATACAGCTCTTCCCCCTCCTTGTTCGCAGCCAAAGCTGTAAGTGAACTGAAGGACGTGAACTACTCCAACAAATTTCGGGAGACCTTCCTGCCAGATGGGCAGCCCTTGCTGCCAGGCATGTTCGTGAGGCGGCCGGACCTTGCGGCTCTGCTGGAGATGCTGGGAGCAGAGGGAGCATCAGCTTTCTACAGTGGCAACTTGACACAGGAGATCATCTCTGAGGTGAGCCATGTCTGTCCTTCTCTCTGCTCCAGCCCATGGCATAGCACAGAAGAGCCTAGGAAGGTGCTACCTGCCTTACCACCTGCTTAACATGGGAAAAGCACCTTGAAATAAGACATAGCCATAGCAACCTTGGGGTTGCTTTCAGAAGCCTGTTTTTGTTCACCTGGGCTGCCAGGAGGAGTGCCTCAATGCTGCTTGCTCAGTGTGATCTACTTTGCCCTCCTGCTCAGGTCCACAGCTATGGAGGAGTCCTGGTGGAGGAGGACTTCAGTAACTACAGCGTCGTGGTGGAGAATCCCGTGCACACAGTGTATCGAGGTAACGAGCGCGGCCTGACCCACACGGGGAGGATTCCTTCCTGGCAGCAGGTGGTAGCAGCACCTGCCAAGCTAGGGCCACCCTGAGCAGTTTCTAAAAAGATCGAAGCTCTCCTGAGCTCTGCAGCAGTGTCTGCTGAAGCGCCTGCCCGTGAGTTTCCTGCCAGTGTCTGTCGGCACTGATGCATCATCGGCAGTTTGGGAGGTTTTTGAGCACCTGAAACGGGCCTTTTTTACCCCTTGACAGTGACTGATGGTGTTTTGCTATAACGTTACTGCCCAAAGAAGCAACATGAATACATGCTTAGGCCTTACTTATATCTAAGTTAGGCAATGGACTAGGGCCTACATCTGCAGTTGATCTGCAAAGGGGAAAAACCTGCTTTATGCAGAAAGTTTTCTCAATGACATTCTTTTATCAAAACTGCTGTATTTATTATTATTATTATTTTATTACTATTATTATATTTATTATTATTTATTATTATTATGTATTATGCACTGCTGATACCTGTAATGCTACAAACCCTTTTGGTCTCCATTTACCCATACTGCAGCCAACCAGCCAACAAACAAGAGCTGAGTTTCAGACACACAAAAATAAACCCTATTTCAGCTTTCTTTATTCATCAAAAAGAAACAGAATGACACAATATGAAGGTTTGGGGAAAACTTTTTAAAATCATATTGTTTTCCATTATCTCCCCCAGTCTGGAAAGCTTTCCATGTCCTCAAGGAGAATCACTTATGGGAAAACACTATAATTGGACAGCATCTAGCAAAAGCAGCTTCATTCCTCTCTTCTTCCCTTCCCAGGTCATCTTGTCTTCAGTCCCCCACCTCCACACGCAGGCCCTGCACTAATGACTGCACTGAATATCCTTGAGGGCTTTAACATCACAAACCAAGCATCCAGAGGAAATATGTTGCACTGGATGGCAGAGGTAAGAGCGGGTTAAACCTTTGGCTGAATTTGTTGTGCTGTTGGAGAATGTATTGATTTGTCAGTTGTACAAAAGCGTAGGTGATTCCCAGGGGAGAACAAGCAAGTAGAGCGCTGAGGTGTAAAGCTGAGCTGTCCTGCTGCCTCAGGTACGTGCGGATGCTGGAATCTCCTCCCTAGCTGATCTTTTTCCTGCTCAAGAAGAGTGTACCCAAGAAGGGCAGTGCCTTTTGTCCACATCTTCTACATCATCTCTGCAGAACAATCTCCCAGCAGCTGAGGCTCTGTTTCCTTTGCATCTTATTCTACAGCAGCCTGGGCAGCACTAGAGTGATATGAGGGTCCTGGTGGGAGAGTCTGCAGTGCGTGAATGCTGCAGCCAAAAAGCCACAGATGGAGATGACCAAGAAAACTATATTTAAAAAAATATATACATTTTAGCTAACCTCAGGGGTCCAGATCATGATCTAGGCAGTATTTATGTATGTAAATAGCCCTTCTAAACAGCAGCAAGTTTCTGGGAAGACAGGCAAGCGTTCAGTTTTCTGCTCTGTAAGCACAGCTGTGTTTTTAGACATTAACACGTCCACAGCTGGAAGTTTTAAGCAAGCACGTGATCACATGTAGCGGCTGAAAGAAAAATATATGGGGGAAAAAAAAAATTCCAAAAGTGCCATTCCCCAAGGTGCCCTGGGACTAACATTTGGGTGACTTACAGTTAGGTGGATGGGTAATGTTAGTTGGTGAGGAGAGTCCTGGTGACTCTGTTTCCAGACAGCAGCACAGCTGAACGACGCAGCCAGGCTGGGTAGGTTGCACTGTTGCTATTAGGAGTATTTCACCTTGCACGTCACATGTACAAATCCTCCCGGATTCATTGGCTCCTCCAGCACACAATTTGCCATGCAAAACCTGATGGCCTTCTGCCACCATATCCATGCCTTGTGGATCTTTTCACTGAGATACTTCCAGAACCCGGCTATTAGACACTTTGGTTCATAGGCTTTAGGTTGGTACGTGTTGGGAGAAGAGCTATCTTTTACTGTGTGAAGAATATAAAATGGAATTTCCAGGGCCACCTAAATGTTGTTTTTTCTTCCTCTGTTTTCAATTTAGACATTAAAAATAGCCTTGAGCCTAGCTAGCAACTTGGGCGACCCAAGCGATGATGTGTCTGTCACTCATGCTGCTGAAGGCATGCTGAGGTAGGTCTGAGGCTGCCAGGCACATTCATAGCTCTCTGAAACCTGTGGTTTGGATATCATTCCTCAAGTTGTTCTTTTCACAGGGAAAACTTGTGCTTTTTTCTACCTTTTTTTTTCCTGAGAAAGACCAGTCCTTGAGGGTCTTCCTGGGGCTCACTCTTCCAAAGCATCAGAGCCGACCCCAGAAGGCTCTCAGGATTTCCTCACACAGAGGTTTCCTGAAACTAACTCAGTCTTGAGGGTTCCTCCTCCCCTTTCTCACTCCTCTGACTATTGCTTCTCAGCAAGTCAAACAGCTGCCCATGTGTTGCTGGCTGTGACTACAGTATCTTGCTTTTCTTTCTCCCCACACCTGCAATGGTGCTTGGTGCCTTTACAGTTCACCCAATACCTGAGGAGAGGCCAGGCCTGGGATTTCAGTCTGCCCTTGACCTCAGAGACAGTTTCAGACATGTTTGCTGGCCCAAAGCTGGATTTAGCTCATTCTCCTCTGCACTTAGACCAGTATTCAGGCAGGTTCCTGCACATCTAGTCACTGAGAGCTGAGTTCATCACCACAGATAATGCCAGGGAGGTCTATGGCAGTTCCTCTCTGTGCTGAGTGAAATATCTCGTTTCCTTCCATCTGATAATCCAGAGGAGCTCCCTCTCCTCAATATGAGCCCTTTCAGGGAGCCACTTCCCGTAGCATGCAGGTACACCCCGACCAAGAGAGCAGGAGATGTTCAGCTTTCTGAGTTCATCACTTTCTTTCCTCTTTGCCGCCCCTCATCACCGAAGTAAATCAGAAGCTAATACCCTGCGGCAGCTGATTAACGACTCGCAGTCCTTCTCCTCTGACCCCCGCATGCCTCACTTCTCCATGGAGAGCGGACCAGCTGCCAGCCAGGTCCTCGTCATGGGACCTGATGATTTCATTGTTGCAGCTGTAAGGTAAAGGATTTACTTCTCCCCATAAAGGGTTCAGAGGGAGGGAACTACCCCTGGAGCTCAGGAATATGGGTTGTGGGATTCCCCTCAGAATTTAGCCTAGGCCTTCAGGCTGGTAGGATCAGTCCCTGATCTGCTTCTCAAGGAGCCTCAAAGGGTAGGAGGAAATAAGCTTATTATGAGATGTTGTGTTTTCTAGACGAGCTTTGCAGTCCCAGAGGAAATTTTGTATCGATCGTTAAAGTAAAAATGGTTGAAAATCCCTGGGCTACATCAGCAGCACTCGCACATTCCCCAGCTGCTCAAGGGGCAGGGATGTAACGGCAGAATGGGGCACATGGGGCGGAGGTGTGTGGTCCTCAGCAGCTCTCCCTACCTCCCTGCATGGCACAAACATCTCTGGAGCGGCCTGAATCTGCTCCCTAGAGAGGAGCTGACAGCAGAATTCAGAGACTACCTGGGATACGGAGACTGGCATAATCCACCACCTCAATGGCAATCCTTAAACACAGGCGAGGGCTGAGCCTCTGTGGTCCACACGGTTCCTGCCACTAAACACATGGGACCTTCATTATGCATGTCCAGCCATCCCTAAACACTTGCTGAGGATTCTTTGTTGAGACAAAATGGGACAGAAAATTAAAGCATTGAAAGCCCTGAGGTGTACAGAGAATCATTGTGAGGATTCTGATGAAATTCTCTGGGTTTCTTTTCAGTTCTTTGAATCGTCCGTTTGGCAGTGGAATAATAACACCCTCTGGAATCCTCCTGAACAGTCAGATGTTGGACTTCTCTTGGCAAAATAAAACAACGAACCACTCCTTTCCCAGGCTGGTAATGAACAACTTGACAATTTCTTGATTGAATAGCCTTTGCTATTTTTATTAATTGTATTCCCATCTCCAGGCAGTGAGGCTATTTTATGTTTTATTAATAAGCTGGAAAGGGCTACTGATAGAAAAGCTCCTGCTTTTTCATTATATGAGCCACCAAAACGAATTAAAGAGAGGGCTTCATGTGTATCAGTTATCGCCATAAAGCAGCGTGATCAAACAGCATAGTCCAGCAGCACTTTAGAGCAACCACCCTTTTCTGTGCACTTGAATTAAGAAGACATTTTATGGTTTATTCCTCGTATGCTTAAAAGTAATTGACAGTGGAAGAAATGTCTCCGAATCATAGAAAGAAGCTATTGCAGGTGGCTCCTGGTGGCTTGCAATGCTGCCCTGTGGTTCCTTCTTGCCATTCCACTGGCCTGGCGAGCAGGGTGCTGGGAAGTGTTGAACAGCCCGGTGCAGCCTCCGTAAAATGCCCTGGGGAGCAATGGCAGGAAAACTGCCAGATTCATTAACGTCAGAGCACGTTTTCATAGCAGTGTGAATGGTAGCCCTGTAAGAAACAGCACCGCTAGAATCTGCTTGGCTCAAGTGGAAAGAGAAATATGAGTAATTCGAGCAACAGAAAAGCTTTGGTCTGTTTGACTGACTTGTTTTTGCGCCACTTTTTGTCAACTGCAGCAAAACCTCCTGCAGCCTTGGAAACGGCCCCTGTCTTTTCTGCTGCCCACCATCGTGCGGCCGTCGGAGGGGCTGTGCGGGACCTACCTCTGCCTGGGAGGCAGCAACGGGGACAAAGCCTTGAGCAGCATCGTTCAGGTCAGTGCGGGGGGATTCCTTTCCTCCACACGCACTTTCCGTTTCCATCATCCCAGGCGTGGCCTGAAACCGACGGCCACAGGTTTGTCAGTCGGTGCCACCAATCCCCCACACCTAGTTATGCAAGTCTCTAAGAACTGTCACAGAAGGCTGCAGGACACTTCTGGGAATCTAGTCCGATCTCCCTGCTCAATGGGGACTCTAGACCCAGTGCACGTTTCCAGGATTTTTGTGTCCAGAAAGCTTCTAAATGACTCCACCACCTCTCTGAACAGCCTGTGCCAGGGCTCTGTCACCCTCAGAGCCAAGAAGTTTTTCCTTAAGTTCAGATGGAATTTCCTGTGTTTCTGTTGGTGCCCATTGCCTCTTTCCTATTGCTTGGCACCACTGTCAGATATTTAATGACGAGTTTACTTTGTTTGCTACAAGAGTTTGCGCCTTTCCTGAAGGTACTGCTCATGGCTCTAGAGGAAAAAGATCTCAACAAACACCACAATGATTTTGTGCCATTGCAATGCCTGTTCAAAGCTCATCTTAAGGATCAATAGGAGAAGAGGAGCTATTTGTATTTAGGGAATTGCAGGAGACTGGCAGTCCTTCAGCCCTTTTCCCCAGGAGAATTTATTTTAGCACGGTCCCGACCCGATTCCTCCCTACTCACAACGCTCTATAAGCTGTTCCTCCTAAATTTGGATTTGCACAGAGGTGAAGTACTTGCCCATAGCTTGACTGTATGCGCAACAGCACCAAATCCTTAAAAAGAAAAGCAAAACTGCAGCTGGCTGCTGTTCGCTTTTACCTCTCGGACGGCTTCAGTTCAGAGCAAAATTAAAGCCAACCATTGCCTCCCAGTGCTCTGTTTGGAGAGATCACACGCTGTTCTTTTGGCTGTAACAAATACCTTTTTGGAGATGACGTCAAGTTCCAGACATACAGCTCCCTGCCCATACGATCCTGAAAAGGTACCATTTTTTTTCCAAGAATAAAATAAACCCAGTATTTCCAGGGTCTCTTTCTACATGCTCTGCAGCCAGTTCACACAGTTAGGTAAATTTTTCAATACTTCTTTGCCTGCTGCATCTGCAGAAGTTGGAGCCAATGATGATAGGGGGCTCAGGAATTTTGTGTCTCATATTCTCATCGCTCTGTTACTATTGGGGATCTTTTATTCTCTTGCAGGTTTTAGTAAACGTTTTAACATTTAACAAGAATCTGAGCGAAAGTTTGTCACTTGGTCGACTTCATCCACAGCTTCAATCCAACACCTTGCAGGTTGACAGTGAGTATGGAAACTGGGGATGGGGCAGCCTTCCCATGCAGCAGGGTTAGAAAAGGGGCAGGATTTCCTTTGCACCCTGCTGCAGAGCGGGGCACGGCCCAGCACCCAGCTCAGCCTCGTCTACACGATGACCCTGTGAGTGCAGAGTGTGTCGGGGCAAACAGAAAGATGCTTCTCCCCAAGAACCTCTCTGTTCCAGTCCACCTCTTGGTAGCACAACTGCAAAACTGGCAGCAGGTTTGTCCTTAAAACCTATGCCCAACCCTCCACTCAGAATGATCTTTATAAACAGCAGCCAGGCACCGCCAGCTCCACTAGTGCCCTCGCCACAGAGGCTCTTTCAGTTGCCTTCCACCCCCGTTTCGATTTCTACCCAGCCGGAGAAGGTAAAGCTCCTGAGCTGGCTTTTTGCCTGGCAGTGCTCACATCCCCACCAGTGCTGACACGCCGGAGGCCGAACTTCCAGCCCTGCTCCCTGGTATTGAAAGCCTTGGGCTAGCTGGCATTTTCACAAAGGTCCATGTGGTAGCAGAGTGCAACCATAAGTGAAATTTGGTTCTCCTTTCAGATAAAATAGCCTCAGTTTCTAGACCTTGCCACTTCAGAGGAAAATCTAAAGACATATTTTGAGTGTGACCCACAGGCTTGCAGATTAGAATTAAATTAAAACAAAATAATTAATTTTATTTAATTATTCAAACCAATTTAAAAAATGAAAGGCTCAAAAGCATTTGTAGATCCATTTTTTGTATTTGGATATTTGGCATCAACAAAGCATTCTGTTGATATGGAAATTATAAATTCAAAATTCTGTTCATATGAAAATAACAAAATACCAAATAAAATAAACAAAGTAAAAGCAGAAGAGCAATAAACCTAAGGTAGATGGCTGAAAGAATGAGAATTGCATGAACGAGGAGTTGGGAGGCTTGTCATATTTTAATTCAATTTTTCATTTGGCAACTTGTTTTACTATCCTTTCTTTGGAGCTGCCTTGCACCTTATTCGATTAATGTTTATTAATGCTGTTTTTTTGCAACATAACCCTTCAGAACAGGGACTATCTTCTGTTCTGTGAATAGAAAAATGAAAATAGATGTCAACAACATTTTCCCCTTTTTCCAAAGAGGAGGATCTTGCACATCTTTAGGTAATCTTCTGGACCCCTTATTTTCCCCCACCACACAAAGGCTTCTTTGCTGCTGAGTCCTGAATGTCTTCTCCTTAGAGCTAGTGAATGGTGGTTCTCGTTGGCCATCTCCTTGGCTCACCTTAGCTGGGACCTTCTGAAACATTTTCAGGCAGTTTTCTCCACTCTGGAAATCTCAAAGGAGCTAAGAGAAAATTTTCTATCACAGATAAGGTGATTTCAGTTACAAGCTCCTCTTTTAAAAACCCTACAGGTGAATTTCCTCAAGAAGATATTGAACTGCTTGAAGCCAGGGGCCACCAAGTGGATAAAGTCAAAGTGGTCTCCCTAGTTCACGGGGCCAGGAGAACCAACAGTTTCATCATTGGCCTGAAGGACCCCCGGAGCGTGGATGCTGCAGGGGCCACGATACTGTAGCAACTCCCCGACAGTGTCTCCGCTGAACCAGGCTCCAGACAAATCAACAGAGGTGATGTGCATGTTCCCCAACGGCCCCAGAGCAGGACCGTTGTGTCGCACTGCTGAGGAGACCCCTGCACTCCCCACCCTGGGCAGCACAGGAGTGGCGAGGAGAGCAAACACAGAGCCCTCCGATTTTTCTTTTCCAATAACTGAGTTCAAGGAGCTCAGTCATTGTTACAGAAACGCAGGGCATACACTTCTCTTTTGGCAGTCCTGTTAATAACTTCACTCATTCCAAAAGCCCAGTTTTAGTTAGCATCTTAATTTTAAGGAGCAGGAACACTTGCAAAGGAAGCAGTGATGGGAACAAGGAGCTGCTGATGCTACTGTGAACCTCATTTCTTCCCCAGATTTATCCTTTGCCTCTTGCAGAGGTCAATAATTAATACAGCCAGACTAAGGTAGTGCTTGCAGGGCCTGAGGGTGGAATATCAGGGAGTCCTTTAATGCTCTATATAGGCCAACTGATTTTTACCAGCTTGCACCCTCCTGTGTTAGCTTCTATTCACACATCACCTACTTTGAATGTTTGGAGTAAATCACAGAATCCTAGAAAGGCTGAGGTTGGAAGGAACCTCTAGGGCCCATCCAGTCCACCCCCTGCTCCAGCAGGGACACCCAGAGCACGTGGCACAGGGTGGCATCCAGGCAGGTTTGAAGATCTCCAGAGAAGGAGCCTCCACAGCCTTTCTGGGCAGCCTGTGCCAGGGCTCTGGCACCCGAACAGGAAAGAAGCTCTTCCTCACATGGAGATGGAACTTCCTGTGTTTCAACTTGTACCCATTACCCCTTGTCCTGTCACTGGCCACCACTGAGAGGAGTTTGGCCCCATCCTTCCTGCATTCTCCCCTCAGGTACTTATACATATCCATAAATATTTTGGAACAAATCCCTGCTCTCTCTGGAGGTCTCATTCGGAATCGGCTGCCTCCTCAGCGGCAAACGTGGGTCAATGATTCCCGGCCCTGGGAATAGCTGCACAGCCACACGTAGCGCAAGGCAGAGCAGCCCCTTTTGGCTTCTAGCAGCCTGTGGCCACCCCGATAGTTTTCTCACAGAGGTTCAGGCATCACGAATTTACTGTCATTGGGCTTATTTGTCTTGGGTATTTCTTGGAGATATCCTGGAAGCAGCCTACAAATTTGCAAGACTCCACAGCCAGAAAACCAGATGGGGAGAATTTGGGCAGAATCAGGGCTGCCTTATCTCTGCCTGCTGTGAAAGCAGGAATTGTATAATCCCTGCAAAGAGGTTTCGGATTTTCTGCTTAGTAAATTCATGTCAGTACTTCAGCTCAGTACTTCAATGCTGGTTGCTACATTAGAAAAGCTGAAGAAAGTGAGAGGAAAAGACAAAGCAAAAACTACGGAGATACCTTTCTTTCCTCAACATGTAACACAGGATGTAAGAATAATTCTGCATTTCTTGCACCAAACAGAATGAAAAAGCAATCACAACTGATTGCTGCATCATCTTGTTCAATCCACATTTGAACCTTTCCTTCTCTTTTTGCTAGTAAGGTAGGTAGAGACAACTAGCACTGCAAAGTTTGGAAATTTGATCATTTGTTTCCTGCAGCCTAAATTGTAATGGTTTCCTTTGAGGTGCAAATGTCTCAAAGGCCACTGTACATTTTATATATATATATGTCTGCATATGGTTGTCTTGGTCTTTCACCAGTGATTATGCAAGTTATCCCAAACCTTCCTTCTAAGAGAAAAGGAGTCTGGACCCTTGTAAATACTGGTTTGTTAGTGACACATCTCTTCACGTTAATGCCAAATTGACACAGGAAGCAAGCAGAGCACTGTCGAGGTGGTCACTGAATGACCGTAGATAATCAGACTAATTATTCCTGACATCTGTCAGCTGAGGATCTCAAGCATCTTACGTTAAGTCTTGCACACCATGCTGAGGAAGGAAGAAGATGCCTCTACGCTCCACTGAGATGCAGCCTCTTGTGAGGCAAGCGAGGCAGCTCCTCAACAAACAGGAACATTCCCAGAATTTTGTGTTACACACAAGTCAATAGCAGAGCGTAGCCAAGAGAGCAACAGGACAGCAGGACAACTTCAGCCTTGAGGAGAAAATTGCATTCTGTGCCACCAAAATGCCATTATGGCAAGGAGAGGATTTCTTCACTGCAGAGACGTAGAACCTACTTATTTATTTTTCTGCCATAGCAGCTAGCTTTGGTCACTGTCCGAAGTTGGAATATTCATAAAAATGTACATCTCTTGTTACAGATATTTTAAGGTTAGCAGGAAAAGAGGATTGATTTCTGTGCAGTGAAACTGGTGGGAATTTGGTATTTTCTGGTACAGTGACAGCATTGATCTGTCCCTCAGACACAGAGCTTTACCAAACACAACTGCAAAAGAAGTAGGCGAGTAATTGTCATTACAATACTTTGCATGGACTATTACAATACACTTTGTAAGATACAATTTCTACTTATTAACTGAATTCTTTTCACCAAATCACTTCTGATGTTGGGAGCTTGTGTTCACTTGTGAGTTAAAGCCTCTGCTCTGATTCAAAAGGGCACTTTTATGCCCAAAAGTGAGATTTCAGAGTGATTATTTAAATTCTTAATATTAAGTACACTCCTAAGTGCTCTGTTGGATCACAGCCTATATTGTGGGAAAAAAGAAATGTGCAAAGTAACTGGAATACGTGTCTTATGCTATCACATGCTGACTAAGAGAAGTAAAAATATTTTGAATTATTTCCCATTTGTTCTGTTTATAAATGCCACCAGTGTAGCACAGATGTATTTGATACTGAAACCATTATCAAAAAAAGAGGTCTGCTTGGCCCAGTGTCTCCAATACTTTAAGTCAAGCTGTTGTGATGAGATCTCATGAACTGAATTTGTGGTACTAAAAGATACCTGGTGTTTCCTTATGTACAGCCAAGATAGACATTGTGAAATAAAGGGCCATATTCTAGAGAAATACGTGTGCGGAGTAACTGCATTGATTTCACCCCAGCTATTGCAGACCTCCAGCTACTCGGAAGCAGAATGTGCCCCAGTGAGGGGCAAAACCCTGTGTCAGGCGGCCAGGAGGGACCTTGAACATTTGGCAGCCCTACAAAAAATGGCTCGGTGGCCACACGTCCCTCAGAGCCACCAGCCACGCTGGCAGGCACGAGCCATGGGGCCATCACGGGCAGCGAGAGCTGGGCCTTGCTGTGGCAGAAGACGCAGGTCCCCCTTCCTCATGCACAAGGGGATTCGCCCGGGTGTCCATGTCGCACCTGGACACCTTGCTGAAAGGGGTGACACCTCCGCTGCTTCCACGCACTGCAAAGCTCTCCTGTGCCTCAGAAACACCGAGGATTTCCGAAGGTTTTACAAACAGGTCCGGCAGAGCAGGAAGGGCTGCTGTGGCGCAGGTACCCCATATGGGGCAGTCAGTGTTCAGCAGAGGCCGGGGAACGTGCGGGAACGCAGCAGGCCCGTGCGAAGGGCACACGAGAGGGTGCCCCAGGAGGCCTCAAATACTGAGGCTGCCAAGGGCCCTCCAGCAGCCGAGGCGTTTGTAGGCGTGGACCGTCCCCGCAGAGAGCCACGGGAAGGGGGCTGCGCAGGGGCTGCGCGGCCGCCACAGCCCCTCACGCCACCACGGAGCAGTCGCTGCGCCAGGGCAGCGCAGCCAGGGCTCTGGGGAGACATCGCCCGAAGCGGACAGGGAGAAGGTAACTGCGGCACACCCGCGTCTGCCGCGTTGGCAGCCACCTGCCATCCTCCTCCTCCTCAGCACGCTCACAACTCAGCAAAACCCCACGGAGAGAGCTATACACCAGCAACAGAAGCCATTAAGACCTCAGCATGGCAGACTGCTCCCTTCCCTCTCCATGTTACAGTGAAGACTATACTAATTTTAGAGGGAAAAGACATTTTGTTCAGCTTATTATGTAGCATTTAATTTGTGAAAAATCTAAAACTGAGCATGAGTCTAACTATGAAAAGGTCACTTTTTTTCTGTACGGGGTCTTCAATTTGAAAATACTGTCATTTAAAAGAGCATTGTAAGTATAACCTTGATTGCCACACTTGTAAGTACAATCTTGATAGTCTTGAAACAAAATATTTTCCTCTGCAAAAAGATTTTCCTCTGCATTTCTCAGTTTGGTTCTGCCAGACCTGTCATGAAAACTCTCCTGTCCCAGCTGTGGTTCTGAGAGGTTGGGATGGATCTCAACATAGATTCTAAGTTCATGGTGTGGCTCCAGCTGTACAGTAAACTGAGCTGAGCCGTGGCACTTCCTGCCTACAGCGCCCATCACTGCAGAGACGAGTCCACTTGTCCACACGAGACAGGGGACAGCCAAAGCGGTGGGGTCTGAAGTGTCCTGTACGGCTCCTCCCACAGCTTCATCAGACGGCAAAGCTCTGGGGACAAAGTCCCCTTCCTTCCTGCCACCACCCTCCTCCCACCACCACCAGATGCTTTTTGGCCTCCTGCAACAGGCATCAACAGAGGATGAGATGAATGTCCTTCACTAGCCGCAAGATCCCAGAGGGTGAAGGCCTCTCTTGGTCTCTCCATCCACCAGTGTTTAGCAGACAAGCCTCACAAGATTCCTCTGCCACCAGGGATGTCTTAGCCCTGCCACCTCACCTGAATGTTCCTCCAGGTCTGAGTCAGCTCAACACATGCTCTAGCCTCCTCATACTTTCTTATACTCATTTACACCTCTGATAGAATGGGGATTAATTATAATCATGCAGAGATTGTGTCTATCTATCTGACCTGTTATAACAGAAAGCAGAAGCGTTAGAAAAAATCAGTGAAAAGCAGCATATTATAAAGTCCAAAATGGATGTATGAGACACCAAGCTGTAAATGAAGGAAGAGATTTTTCAGAGCCTTCATGGCGTGGTTAGATACAGGAAGGTTGTATCTGCACAGAGCTTCTCAAACACAGATTACATATGAAAAAAAGCTACAG